GCACTAAGAAAACCATGTGGTTCAGAAGCAGAAAAAAACCTAAATTCTGATAATATCACTGTTGTGCCACCTTGAACAAGTTATTAACCTCTCTGAGCCTCTGCTTCTTCCATCAGAAAAAAAATACTGAGGACGGTAGTATACTCCTAAAATTCTTGGTGTAGGGGTTAAATGGGATAAGATTTGTAAGAAAGTGCTTGTCAGTTTCCCATTGAGTAAGCATCTTGACCATCAACTATATATAAGATGCTGAGGAATGAGGCAATCAACAATATAGTTTTCTGTCCTAAATCTACTCAGAATCTAGGAAGGTGATTGGCATGTAAAGATGTAAATTAAATACACTGTGTCAGGAGCAATAATAGGAGTATTTACAAAATATTTAGAAAGGACACACAGGGAAGGAATAAATAAATCTACTGGAGGTGTGTGATACAAGGAAGGCTTCTGGGGGAAAGGCAATATTTGAGTTGGATTTTGAAGGATAAATGTGAAAGAACAGAAGCAGAAAAACAGGTTATGTAGAGGCACCTAGTTGTGAAACAGCATGGACTCCTCAGAAAAGTATGGAGAAGCCAGAGACTAGTGTGGTGGTGATGATAATCGTAATAACACCCAGTTATTGAGTGAATGCTCTGTGCCAGGCATTGCTGCATCACTAAGCACTTTGCATACATGCTTTCTTGATATCCTCATTATGAAAAAACCTTGTGAGTGGGAGAGGTTGGGCTTGGCCTTGTGGCCAAATGAAAAGTCACAAGACTTTAAAGTAGGGTGGATGTCATGATCATAGTATATTTAGAAAAGTGATTGAGGCATCATATTTTTTTAATTGTGGTGAACTACAACATATATTTTATCCATTTTGAAGTGTACCATTCAGTAGCCTTAAGTATATTCACATTGTTGTGCCACAATCACCACACCATTCGTCCACAGAATTTTCATCTTGTAAACCTGAAACTCTATACCCCTTATATAAGAACTCATTTCTCCCTCCCCTGCCCCTGGCAACCACCAGCCTGCTTTCTATCTCTATGATTTTGACTACTCTAGGTATGTGATATAAGTGGAATCCTACAGTATTTTTCCTTTGGGGACTGGCTTATTTCGTTTAGCATAATGTTCTCAGGGGTTGTCCATGTTGTAGCATGTGTCAGAATTTCCTTCTTTTTCCCTTAAAGCTGAGTGATATTATATTGTATGTATATACCGTATTTTGCTTTTCCATTCATCCATTGATAGCCCCTTGGGTTGTTTTCACCTTTGACTATTGCAAATAATGCTATTGTGGACATGGGTGTACAAATATCTTTTCAAGATCCTGCTTTCATGCCTTTTGTGTATACACATGGAAGTGAAATTTGGATCATATAGTGAGTGTGTGTTTGTATGTGTGTGTGTTAGTCACTCAGTTGTGTCCGATTCTTTGCAACATTGTGAACTGTAGCCTGCCAGGTTTCTCTCTCCTTGGAATTTTCCAGGCAAGAAAACTGGGGTGGGTTGCCATTCCCTTCTCCAGGATCATATAGTAATAGTCTATTATTATTCTTTTCCACCATGACGCATCGCCTAGTTCCCCAACCAGGACTGAACCGGGGCCCTTTGCAGTGAGAGCCAGGAGTCCTAACCACTGGACCACCAGGGAATTCCCAGTAATACTCTTTTTATTTTTATTTTTTTAGTTTTTTTCCATTTATTTTTATTAGTTGGAGGCTAATTACTTTACATCATTGCAGTGGGTTTTGTCATAGATTGAAATGAATTAGCCATGGATTTACATGTATTCCCCATCCCGGTCCCCCCTCCCACCTCCCTCTCCACCCGATCCCTCTGGGTCTTCCCAGTGCACCAGGCCCGAGCACTTGTCTCATGCACCCAACCTGGGCTGGTGATCTGTTTCACCCTAGATAATATACATGTTTCGATGCTGTTCTCTTGAAACATCCCACCCTCGCCTCCTCCCATAGAGTCCACAAGTCTGTTCTATACATCGGAGTCTCTTTTTCTGTTTTGCATATAGGGTTATCGTTACCATCTTTCTAAATTCCATATATATGTGTTAGTATACTGTAATGGTCTTTATCTTTCTGGCTTACTTCGCTCTGTATAATGGGCTCCAGTTTCATCCATCTCATTAGAACTGATTCAAATGAATTCTTTTTAATGGCTGAGTAATATTCCATGGTGTATATGTACCACAGCTTCCTTATCCATTTGTCTGCTGATGGGCATCTAGGTTGCTTCCATGTCCTGGCTATTATAAACAGTGCTGCGATGAACATTGGGGTGCACGTGTCTCTTTCAGATCTGGTTTCCTCGGTGTGTATGCCCAGAAGTGGGATTGCTGGATCATATGGCACTTCTATTTCCAGTTTTTTAAGAAATCTCTAGACTGTTTTCCATAGTGGCTGCACTAGTTTGCATTCCCACCAACAGTGTAAGAGAGTTCCCTTTTCTCCACACCCTCTCCAGCATTTATTGCTTGTAGACTTTTGGATAGCAGCCATCCTGACTGGCGTGTAATGGTACCTCATTGTGGTTTTGATTTGCATTTCTCTGATAATGAGTGATGTTGAGCATCTTTTCATGTGTTTTTTTGCCATCTGTATGAAGTAATACTCTTTTTAAAAAGTAATACTTTTTTTTTTTGGAGGCAATCCATGCTGAAAGGCATCAGTTTTAGAGAGGAAGCCTGGGGGCAGGATGTCATTCCCAGACAAGACTTGATAAGAACCTTAACTCCACGCTATTGGAAATGAAGAGAAGGGAATGCAGGTAAACCATTGACAAGATCTTGGTGCCTCACTGATGATAAGAGAAAGGAGGAGGTGGGTATTCTGGATGACTTCCTTACAGGTTATCTCCAGACTTTTGCCTGAGGCAAATAAAGTTTAGGGACCCTCTTTGAGAAAAAGAATCCTGTGGTGATTGGGGAGCTGCCTACTTACCTCCCATACCATCTCAGGCCCAGACCTGCCAATCAGAGCTTTTCTCCCTGTGGCTAAAGAGATTGCTATACAGAGGAGTAGGTGACCCAAAGCAGGCTATTGAGACTCAGTTCTGGGACTTTTGTTGGGACTGTTGAGAAATGGTTCATTTTTCTAATACCTCTTGTGTGTGTGTGTGTGTGTGTGTGTGCCTGCTGAGAGGTTAGGATGTAAGCCTGGACCTTCTGGTGGTAAGCCTGGCATCAAAGAGGAAGGGACAATGGAAGAAAAGAGGTATATGGAGATATACTGGCTTGTGATACCCTTTGATTGAGTCTCTGAGTCAGTCACACATCAAGCTAGACCTATTTCAACCATTTCTGTCACATGAATCCATTTTTTTGTCTGTATCACTTTGAGTTAGTGTTCTATCTGCTGTAACCAAAATATTCAGATTCTATGTCTGTTGACCCAAAAGAACAATGGTGGGCCCTGCTTGAAACATATAACTCCTTGGACCCAATAACTTCCTCAGGGCATAGGGTAAACCCTTTGACGTGTCAGCCAAGTGAATGCATCTGTGATTGAGAGACTAATATATCACATGAAGTGAGTGGTGGGTACTCCACAGACGGATGAGATGAAGCCAAAATTAAAAAAAGAAGAGCAGATGTGTCTTGCCAAAGAAATTTTAGATTCTTGAGGGGTCTGGGAAATTGGTTTTTTGAGAAATCATCCTAAAGCAAGCCTGCCTGTTTTCAGATCCTAATTTTGCTCTCCATTAACCACCTGGCTTTGGCCAAGTTGTGTATCCTTTCTAAATCTTAGTTTCTGATTGCAAAATAGGAATAAATAATATTTACCATCTCAAGGTTGTTGTGAGTGATGCCATTAAATGAAGTGATCATTTTAATTATTGAAATCTGTATGCAGGTCAGGAAGCAACAGTTAGAACTGGACATGGAACAATGGACTGGTTCCAAATAGGAAAAGGAGTACGTCAAGGCTGTATATTATCACCATGCTTATTTAACTTATATACAGAGTACATCATGAGAAACCCTGGGCTGGAGGAAGCACAAGCTGGAATCAGGATTGCCGGGAGAAATATCAATAACCTCAAATATGCAGATGACAGTACCCTTATGGCAGAAAGTGAAGAAGAACTAAAGAGCCTCTTGATGAAAGTGAAAGAGGAGAGTGAAAAAGTTGGCTTAAAGCTCAACATTCAGAAAGCAAAGATCATGGCATCCAGTCTCATCACTAAATGACAAATAGATGGAGAAACAGTGGAAACAGTGGCAGACTTTATTTTTGGCGGGGTCTCCAAAATCGCTGTAGATGGTGACTGCAGCCATGAAATAAAAAGATGCTTACTCCTTGGAAGAAAAGTTATGACCAACCTAGACAACATATTAAAAAGCAGAGACATTACTTGGCAACAAAGGTCCATCTAGTTAAGGCTATGGTTTTTCCAGTAGTCATGTATGGATGTGAGTATAAAGAAACCTGAGCACCAAAGAATTGATGCTTTTGAACTGTGGTGTTGGAGAAGACTCGAGAGTCCCTTGGATAGCTAGGAGATCCAACCAGTCCTTCCTGAAGGAAATCAGTCCTGAATATTCATTGGAAGGACTGGTGCTGAAGCTGAAACTCCAATACTTTGGCCACCTGATGCAAAGAGCTGACTCATTTGAAAAGACCCTGATGCTGGGAAAGATTGAAGATGGGAGGAGAAGGAGACGACAGAGGATGAGATAGTTGGATGGCATCACCGACTCAATGAAAGTGAGTTTGAGTAAACTCTAGGAATTGGTGATGGATAGGGAGGCCTGGTGTGCTGCCATCCATGGGGTCACAAAGAGTCAGACATGACTGAGCAACTGAACTGAACTGACTGAAACAGGCTTACTTATTATTTATCATTGTTATTATTGGGCTTCCCTTCTGGCTCAGCTGATAAAAGAGTCTGCCTGCAATGTGGGAGACCTGAGTTTGATCCCTGGGTTGGGAAGATCCCCTGGAGAAGGGAAAGGCTACCCACTCCAGTATTCTGGCCTGGAGAATTCCATGGACTGTGTAGTCCCTGGGGTCACAAAGAGTTGGACACGACTAAGCGACGTTCACACACACGTGGTTATTACTGACTGCGCTGGGTCTCTGTTGCTGCATGGGCTTTCCTCTAGCTGTGGCAAGCAGGGGCTGCTCTCCAGTCACAGTGCATGGGCTTCTCATCGTGGGGGCGTCTCCTGTTGTGGGGCGAGGGCTCAAGGCTGCACAAGGCCCAGTAATTGCGGCTCCTGGGCTCTAGAGCTCAGCTCAGTAGTTGTGCAGCATAGGCTTAACTGCTCCAAGGCATGTGAGATCTTCCTGGACCAGGGATCAAACCTGCGTCTCCCGCACTGACAGGCAGATTCTTTACCACCGAGCCACCAGGGAAGCCTCACAGGGATATTTTGGATCATAGAAAAGAACATTATCAAGGAGACTTATCAGGACTGCCTGAGACAAACAATATTAGCAATACCCCTTTTCACTTTAGTAAGTATTCCTATTCGGGTGATAAATTATATGATCTTGCTGCCTAAAACACTTCTAATATTGTTATTATTATTGGGCTTGAAATGGAAACATTGTATGGTCTCATTTATATTAGATAAATTAGATACACCTCTAATATTGCTTAGCATGTATTAGATGCTTAAAAGTTGCTTAGTCTCCTCTGAGTCTAGGATAAACTGATGCCTTCTTGCTTCTTTGTAACTCTCGTGCATTGTGTATTTACAGGGTGTATTCTCCAAAACATTTTTTGCTATTGTCCAGGTGGGAAGGTATGTGACAAATGTGACCCATGGATTTGTATCTGTGAAAGAACACTTTCTTACAGCTCCCCACCAACTTCTTTTAATTAATGGGAATTTGGAAAGGTAGTATTGACCTCTTTAAGAGCATTTATTTCGATTCTGCATATTAAGGCAGCTCCAGTTAAAATAATTGAGATTGTTGGGCCACACCTGGTAGTTATTTTGTAATGTGAAATTTTACTTTCTAGCATTTTCTGACACATTCTATTGTTAGACTTTGGTCAGGATTTTCTAAATCTGTTCTGGCAATGATAAGTTAAAGATGTCTACTATAATAGGAAAACACATAAAATGGGGGAAAGATTGAAAAGATTCTTCAGGAAAAATACATACTCATGATAAAAATAAGCACAAGAAAAGATACCTAGTATCATTACTTATTTGGGAAATTAAAATTTAAACCACAATGAGATATCACCTTACATCTGTTAGAATTGCTAAACTTAAAAATATTGACCATAACAAGTGCTGGTGAGGATGCAGAGAAGCTAGAATTTTTGTACACTGCTGGTGGGAATATAAAGTGGTACAATTATTTTGGAAAAGACTGGCAATTTCTTGAAAAGTGAAACCTATGCCTTTCTCAGGATCCAGTCATTCCACTCATAGGTATTTATCCAAAAAAAGTTATAGCATATGTCCATAAAAAGACTTGTACATGAATTTTCATATAGCTTTATTTGCAATAGCTAAAAACTGGAAACAACATAAATGTTCATCAACAAGAGGATGGAGATATATATATATGTACATACACACACACACACACACACACAATGGGGGAGACCTGGGTTGGATCCCTGGGTTGGGAAGATCCCCTGGAGGAAGGCATGGCAACCCATTCCAGTATTCTTGCCTGGAGAATCCCCATGGACAGAGGAGCCTGGTGGGCTGCAGTCCATGGGGTCACAGGAGTCCGACATGACTGAATGACCTAGCACAGCACAGCATACTGTGGTATAACCTTACAAAGGAATGCTACTCAGTAATAAAACTAGGATGAACTACTGATATATGCTACAATGTTAACAAATCTCAAATGATTTTGCTGAGTGAAAGAAGCCATTTGAAATGGAAACATTGTATGGTCTCATTTATATAAAATCCTAGGAAACACAAACTGACATGCAGAGACAGAAAATGTATCCTTGGTTGTTTGATGAGGTTGGGTAGCAAGGAGGAGAAAGGGAGGGATTAAAAAGACCCATTTTAAAGTATATAGTGGCATTAATTACATTTTCATTGTTTTATGACTATTGCTACTATCCAATTCCAGAATTTTTTCATCATTCCAAGCTAATCTTTTTGCCCATTAATCAATAACCCCCATTACAAAAAGGTCACATTTTTGTCTTTGTTTCCATGATGAAATTGAATATGATTCTTGTATATTCTATGATACAAGGAATGACCTTGAAGTAGATGAAAGTGATTTTGAGTCTATGTTCTCCATCTTAACTGCAGTCAGACAAGCTTACATCATGTGTTCTCCATCTTACCGTAGTGAGACAAGCCTTCATCATAGCAGGGACATCATGTGATAGAACTGTGACTTGTACCTCAAATCTGGCCGCCATTTCTCACTCTTTAACCCCAAAGAAGAAAAGTGGGTGAAGTCTTGTCCGTGACACTCAGCCACTATCACACTACTGGAAAAGCAGCCTAAATTGCTGGCCTCACTAATCCTGGGTCAATTGTGTCATTTCTGTGTGGGACGACTGACCTAATTATCATTCCTACCTCCTGACTAAATTAGCAAATCACATATAAATCATACACTTTCCTCCCTACTAGTTGCCTCCCACCTTCTACCCTCCCTCCACCAAATCAGTCTAAAGCGCTTGTAAAGCTAATAGCACTTTTGTGCATTTTCTTTCAAAGTTGCCCTGTTCATTTCTGTTCCAAGCAGGCTCAACTAAGGCAAAGTTTGACTCCTCCTCTCAAGCGGTTTGCCACACCTGGTTCCATGATCTGTTCTGGCACAGTAGCTGGTGTTTGGTAAACAGAACTCTTACAGTAGACTCTCAGGGATAGAAACATGTCCTAAGTGTGCACGAGGAAGTTGTGGCAAGAGGCAAAGTTTCAGAGGCCGGCAGACCTGGGTCAGTATGAGTTTTGGTTTTCTCACCCCTAAAATGGATATGATGTCTACCTACGGGTTGTCTGAGGGGAGTAAATGAGAACGTTTTTGGGAAATGTCTAGAACAGTACCAGGCACTCTGATGAATGAGGAGAGTTCTGTTCCCTTCCTCCTCTCTATCAAGTTAAGCTTGAGATCTGAGGGAAAGAAAGTGATGCGTTGGAAGCGGGACCATGAAAGGATGGGGGCCCTTCTGGCCTAAAGGATACAAGTTTATTTGGCTCTACACAAAAGATCTGGCTCAAAGAAGCCTACGGAAAAAAAAAAACAGAACAGTCACCTGGGTTTTTGGATTAGTTGAACCCTGGATAAAAGATGCTTGTAAAAAGGAGTTGGTGCGAATCCAGAAAATGACTTAAAATGCCCAGGCTCTGCCATGGCACATTCCCCACTTTTTCCGCACATCACACACAGAGTGAGCTCGAATTTGGCCCGAAGCCTTGACTGTTCCCAGGACGGCAGCAGTGGAGAGGTCAGACCAACAGGTGTGGGAAGCTGCTGGGTAAGGGAGGAAGAAGCAGGTGTCGGAGGAGGGGGTCCCACTTTCTTGGGCACAGTAGCTCCAAGACTGCTCCCCGCATCGAATGGAGGGGTCCTGCCCGCCACCTGAGCTCGTGGGGTCTTTAGCCAGGGAGGAGGCAGAAGGAGGCGGTGGATCAGCCACGGGTCAACCCTGGTGGGCTTCCCTCCCCTTTGCTGGCCGCAAGCGGATGCCTGGAAGTTGACGCGAACTCCGGGCCGCTACGAAGCCCCTGGGAGCCGGGGCGACTCCCATTGCGGGGCAGGCCTCCGCCGGCGCTGCCTGCTCCGCCAGGCCTGGAGGAGGGGCCGCTTCGCCCCTGCAAGGCGTGAGGGCGGGGACCGGGGCCAGAGACCCGCGCCGGGAGGGAGCGCGGCGCCCGCCGCCCTTCAATTGGCCGCGCCGCCCCCTCTCCGGAGACGCGGGAGGCGGCGGCCCTCCATTGGTCGGGCTAGTCGGCCAATCCCTGAAAGTCCGGGGGAGGCGGTGGGGGGCAGTTCGTGCGGGACTCCGGAGCCGACCGGGAGCGTCTGGGGGACCTCGTCAGACCGAGTAGCCGAGGCACCGCCCGCGTCCCGCCGCCGCGTCCCGCCGCCTCCTGCGCCGCTCAGGAGAGCGAGCTCCGAGCATCTTGTAGTGAGGCCACTCCTCGGGGCCAGGAGCGGGGAAACCGAGTTCAAGAAACCCCCAGACCCGAACTCAGCCTCTTCCCGCCCCCGAATCATCATGACCCACTTCAACAAGGGCCCTTCCTATGGGCTCTCGGCCGAGGTCAAGAACAAGGTACGCCTGGGCTCGGGTGGGGCGGGACCCTAGAGCCAGAGGTGGGATGCAGGGCGCCGCCCCGGGACCCTGAGACCCGGGTGGCCGGGGCCGCGCTTCTCCCCGCGCGCCTTGGCTGGCGGGCTTCGCGGATAGTAGCTGTCGGGGCGGGGAAGCGGGTGCGCGAGAGTTTCTGCGCGTCCCCTCCAGTCCCCGGCTGCAAGCGCAGGCTCCCGGGCGCTCTGCTGGCTTTGTTCCAGCGCCGCGGGCCCAGGCTAGCGACGGGCCGTGGGTTCCCAGGCGCTTGGAATCCCTCAGCGCAGTCCCTTGGTTCCAGGAGCGGGTCCGCGGCTGCAGGACGCACCCCTCCGTGAAGGGGGCGCTCCTGCCTGGTCGTTCGCCCTTAGGTGGGGCCCGTCGGCGCGGCTGGGGGCCCAGCGAGCAGCCTCCGCCATCCACTCCGGCCTGGGCCCCTGGCAGACCCTGCACCTTCACCCACTCTAGCCCCCGGGCGGAATTCAAAGCCGCGAGTAAAGTTAGGCGGTTAGTGGGCAAACTGGGTCCCCATTGTTCCTCGCCTCTTGCCTGGTGGGAGACCGCTGAGCGGCCCCACGCAAGGACCTTAGGACCACCGGAAGGACGGGAGCCGGCCAGAACCCTTCCTGGTTTTCGAATCCCGGTGCCAATTGCTACTGCTTTTGCAGCAAGAGGAGACAAAGCCTAAGCGCGCCGCTTCGGGAATATCTGCTGTAGACTTGAGCTTTTTATTTTTCTTAAAAAAAAAAAAAAACCAAAACACTGAAGTTTGTAGTACGTTAGACTTTAACGGTATCCAGGAAATCGTCTTGCGTTGCTTTTGTTCAGGGTGTATTTGCCGAGGTGGACTGTAGTTTGGAGTGATTGGGCTTTGGTAACGCTCTGTTTTGCCACTTTGCCCAGCATAAGAATTGGTTGAGTTTATCTTTGGGACTTTCGGTCTGGGAAGGAGATGAGAGGCGTCCCCCTCCCCAAACCCGCTCCTTCCTTCCTCCCTCCCTGCATTCCAAGCCCATGACATCAGGGGTTTCTGGGGGGAGAGAACAGCCAATCCGCGCGGAACTGCGCACAGAACGCTCATTGTCTCCTTTCTGCTGTTCTGGCCAAAGCGCCACAAAGGAGGGCTGCTGTGGTTTAATTCCCATTAACCTCCCGGGAGCCGAAGCATGTTAGGATTGCCACCAAACCGTCCTACCTCTGGCAGAATTCACCGGCATTGTCAGAACTGTAACATCCCAGCGTTGGGGGTGCAGGAAGTGTGGAGGGAATTACCTAGGGACCATGAAGCGCACCATTGTCACACCCCAAGGGAGGATTGTGGCTCTGCTCAATCCTTGATATAGTCTCCACATCATATTATCAATTCAGTTGTTACTAAATTCTAAACAATCGTTGAAGCAAGCAGTTGATTTTAGTTTGTGTATCTAAAGTTGAAATTTAGATCTTTTACCTTGTCAAGTGTGTTGCCCCTGTTAGAAAACGGTTTATTGAACATTATTTTGAAGAACAGAAAAGTGAGTGGTTTGTGAGTACAAACCCCACCAATTGAAAACCCGTAGATTTGTGCTGTTCTTTCCAAGGTTTGCAAGTGGACCTTTAGGAATCCTTTCAGTGGAATCAGCTGGATGTAATAGCCTGGCCTGGCTTGTGCACAGTTTGCCCTTGAGATACTTGTATGGCAACCCTTAAGTCTCTACCTTTTGCGTTGTAAATGGGGTACTGATAACCTTGGCAGTCCTTCAAGTGACTGACTTTTCTTGGTTGTTAATATCATCTTTTTGCTGATTAATGAAGCAACTTCTGCCCCTTTCCTACTTATTATTGAGTAGACTGAAGGAAGTGCATAGACTGAGGCTAGATCACTGTAATTATTATACATTTTTAAAAATAGTAAAACCTCAGCTTTCAGGATCTTTGGAAAGTTGGTTTTAACTTTTGGTTTGTATAACTGTGGGTTTATCCCTTTAAGCATCAAACCAACCTTTAATAACCCCTTTCATTTATATGGTTCTTTCAGACAGTATCCTTTCATAGGAAGTCTTTTGATCTCCACAGCAGCAGCCCTCTGAGATGAGGATTCCTAGGATTACCCAACATCATTTACAGATCAGGATGCTGAAGCTCAGAGAGGTGTGATTTGCTCAAGATCACAGGAGAGAGTTGGAATATTCTAAGAATTTTAACTCGAAGAGTGATGTCTTAGTTTAGTGGAGTGCTTAGGGCTGTTCTGTTACCAGTCATTATTGTCTCTCCCCCTCCCCGCTATTTTTGCTGTCCACCTGTCACTTCCTGGCATCATGATTATTCACTTAATGCTGTTTTAAATATCCCTGTTTGCTAATTCTTTGTATGAGATAATACATTTCAGCTGAGGGCTCAGAACCACCTTATGAGTGAGTTTGTGGAACTTCAACTTTGACACTGCTTTATTTGGATAGCTTTTGATTTCTTCTTGCTTTTTCTCTATGTATTGCATAACATAACTTGCTTTTTCTCTATGATAGGTTGCTTAAATGTCAGGGTTTTTTGTTCTTAAAACCTCATTTAACCATGTGGCAGATGGTAGTGTGGTATGGACCTTGGAGTGAGGCAGATGTGGGTTCTAATCCCCCCTTGCCACTTAACTGCCTTGAATGATTTTGGGCAAGTTATTTGATATTTCTGTCCTAGTTTCCTAATCAGTAAACGGGGGAAGTAATAGTTACCACTTCTAAAGTTTGTGTTACTGAGATGTGTCTGGCTTGTAGGAAGTACTCAATGAGTATGTTGTGGATATTAATTCTTAGAATAGAAAATTAGCATTGGTATTTCTTAGACTTAGATGTCACTGCCTCTTTAAATATTCCATTTTATTTTAAAAAGCCTTTAGTCTATTTATATTTGAGCTGTGAAAGCAGTTCATCAATGAATTGAGGAAGCCTTTGATCTCAGATAGCTTTAATTAATAAAATTTCAAGGGAAAATTAGTCAATTTAAGATACTTGTTTGAGAAGATGATAAAACATGGCAGAACATACAGAATTTTTTTTTTTATTTTTAATTGGCAAGATGTTTGGAAACAGACTAAAAAAAGTAGAATCCTTTAGCCTGCAGTATAACGATCTCTAATAAGAAGAAAAGGATCATAACTTGCAATCTATAAAGACTATAATGTATTAGAAGGTCCAGGAAAATATAGGAGCTGGTGTAGATAGTCCAGTGAGAGATGGAAACATAAAGTAGAAAGGTCTTACATGGATCATACAGGTTGAGCCAGGCCCTTGACTGGATCTAAGGGACCAGAGGTAAATACCTCTGAGCCTTATGAACCATGGAAACGTGACAGGCCCCAAAGGGAAGCACAGCATTTCCGACACTTGGCTCTGATGTTGGAGTCAGGGTGCATGCATGCGTGCTCGGTCGTGTCCAACTCTGTGACCCCCATGGACTGTAGCCTGCCAGGCTCCTCTGTCCATGGGATTTCCCAGGCAAGAATACTGGAGTGGGTTGCCATTTCCCCCTCCAGGGGATCTTCCGGACCCAGGGATCAAACCTTGCTTGGTCTCCTGCAGCTCCTTCACTGGCAGGCGGATTCTTGACCACCGCGCCACCTGGGAATCCAGGGTACTTTCTTGTAAAGCTGAGGATGCAGTGAAGTGTATGCCCTCATCAGTCTTAGAGCAAGTGCTGCAGGGGCACTTACAGCTCTCAGGGAATTGGAAGAGTTAGCTGTGGGGCAGGAGTGAGTGGAGATGCAGTGATTCTTCCCTGGGCATGTTTTTGGGGAGGGATCTAATTGAGATATTAAGAAGAATGGAATTGGAATGCATACTCTCACAGTTTTCTGCTCCCAGGGAATGTCTGATTTGAGCAAAGTAGCTTCTCACACAGTCTTCTTGGTTTCAAGATGGTATCCCTCAACAGACAAAAACCACTTTGGAAGACTTACTACTAAAATTGTAAGTCTTTAAAAGTAAGTTAAGCCATCATAGAGTAATAATTAAATATAATTAAATATTATTACCAAATGTCCCATTGAGACCCTGCCAGCCTGCCAGCCCAGTGCCGTTTGGACAAGCAGTTTGCTCCATCAATCAGAGGATAGTGGACTCCTGCTGTAAACTGATCTCTAAGGTGGTCTGCCTCATTTTGCTGCCAGAGAATCCTGATAAAAACGTATGGATAGGTTTAACTTTAGTTTTTTTTTGACTTTACAGTTCAGTAATAGCTTTTTAATTTAGAACTTTTTGTTTATTACCTCTTTACACCAGCAGTAAGTTTTTTTTTGACTTTACAGTTCAGTAATAGCTTTTTAATTTAGAACTTTTTGTTTATTACCTCTTTACACCAGCAGTAGGATCTTTGTCTTATTCACTGGTGAGATATTTCAAAAATCTATCTTTTAGAATACTACTTGGCACATAATGGATGCCCAATAAGTATTTATCGATTTAATGAATTTATTCATCAGGAATAGATTTTACTGTCTCTTCAAACTGGAAAGGAGCAGTGTTTGAGAGGTCTGTGTAAAGAATTCTGTGGTACAAGTGTGAAATTTTTGAAGGAGGTGGTGATTTTTATAGTTCATTTTTCTTCAGTTTCTTTTCATTGTTAATACTACACTGAAAATTTATCACTGAGATAATTCCTTCTTGTTGTTGAAGTTCTTTCTTAATCACTGAGATAATTCCTTCTTCTTGTTGAAGTTCTTTCTCAGACTCCCAGGTTAGGGAGGAACAGTAGAGATCCCCTCTGCAGACTCTGTCAGGTCATCTCCCAAAAGGCCTCCTGCGAAGTGGCCCTGAAGCCCACCTGGAAGTGGCCCTGTGCCACTCCTGGTAGGGGTGTACCATTGTGATTTGCCTGCTTTTGGGGTTTGTTTTCTTGTCTTGACCAAAACAATTAAAGGAAAAACAGTTTGCTGAATTGAGAAGAGGTACTTAACTACCCATTTAAAGTGGTTTAGTCGCTAAGTCGTGTCCAACTCTTGCAACCCCATGGACTAT